GCACACTGCGAGGTTGTGCTTGGGAATTGTTCGTGCACTTCAACTTTACGTTTCGATGATGTCATTTTAAGCTCAAATAAAATTATGAGATTTTTTACTAATTTAACAATTTAAATTAACTTAATATATGTTTTAACGGACGCGTGAAAATTCTATACGGATTAAAGGATAGCTGCAGAAAACGACGGTTATAGTAACAATAATAGTAATTGATTTATCTTATTCCTTTCCCGAGAAAATCCCTTCTAGAATCTCACCATCGGTTTCATTATCAGAAGTTCATTGCTAGACATCTTCAGAAGGCTGATATTTATTTTAATAAAAAGGGAATAAAAAGCGACTAAATAAATGAATAAAATAGAATCAAACAATTTCAAATTGTTGAATTAACCTTTGAAATTCAAACAATTTATTGTTTAATGAATTTAACACAATTTGCTGCAGTTCTTTTGAATCATAACTTAGTTTTTATAAGAAATATTATTCCGACAAAAATAATGGAAGTTAATTTACATGAAATTTATGAAAATCGATTTAAAATCTTATTTTTTACACAGTTCAAGTTGCAAACATTATAAGTACTTTTGACGATTACTTATCAGAATTGAATAGAATAATCGAAATTGAGCGCAGAAGTTGTTTGAAGAATTTGAGCATTTTGCCATAATTTCAAAATTTCATCAAATTTAACATATAAATACATTTTTTCACCAGACAAAATTTAAATTATTTTAAAGAAAGCCAAATTTTCGAACCATTCTATTGGTAAAGGATTTGAGCGAGAGATGCAAAATTTCGGAACTTGAATGGAAAATGAAAAGTAAAGGAAACGAGACACATTTTAATGCCATAAGACAGAAAAGGGTGAAAGCCAGAGGTTAGGGTCAGGAAGGAAACCATCGCTAGGGGTCAGCTTGTTGCTGCAAATGTAATAGTGGGAGATGGTCAGCGACTGCTGGTTCACATCCCTGACAGCGATAGTCGCGATTTTTTGTAATCAAGAGGGAGGCAAGAGAGAGTGGACAGAGGTTGTAAGAGGGATCTTCCTTCCCTCCATTTCTCTGACATTTTCAGTCTCTTCTCTTATCCCGTCTTATCATAAACAACCTTTTTTTGGGAATTGGAAACATTTGTTTAGTTGCAAAATAGCAATGGAATCTAATGAATTCCAAAATGAAAATATAATTTTTGGAAAGAATTTTTACCGATTGGTTCAAGAACTCCTAACTGGACTTCCGCGTGGAGACACTTACTTTTTACTAACTTCATGATGACCTTCACAAGCTTAAAAGAGACAGCTTTACTAATAAAGAAAAAGAGAATCTCTCTTAAGTATTAACTCCAATTAACTGATCTATTGCTTAGGTGGGCTTTTAAGATCAGGGGTGATAAACACATCTCTAATATTAAATCAAATATATGGAAACTTTGTCAGAAAATTTTTCCAGATTATATGACCGGATTATATGCCGGAACTTAAAGTTACAAAGCTCCGTAAAGATGGACTTTATAAATTTCTCAGTCTTACAAAATGACCCTCTTCTTCTCTACCTTCACATCATTACAATTTCTTTCATTTCATCCGTTTTGCTATGAATGAACGCACATGACATAATGCAGTTCGTAACGAAAAACACAATAAGTAGAGGAGAAGAGGATTGGAAGTGTCCACTTGGAATGGACGGCAGCTCGTGGATCGGTCAGCTGATATAGTGGTTAGTTCAGCAACATAGTACATTATTTATAACAGAGAGAGCAGCACTTTTCGTCTTTTTTTGCGGCTCCGTCCTCTATATGTCTGCCTTTTTTTTGACCATCACCTCTGCATCTTCTCACTTACTGTCTGTTTCATTCATATTAATACACAAATTATTTCATTAGAGAATTTTATAAAAGTTAAGAAAAGTATAATTTCAAGGAAAAAATTGAGTACAAAAATTTAGAAATGAAATTGATTGGAATGGAAATATCTATGAGAGCAAAAAAGAGAGAAGTGTCGGGAGATCAGAGGAGCGGGGAATTTCTTTCTAGAGTTAGCCTAAAATGTAGTAATGGACAGTGGTAAATGGCGAGTTGAATGTTCATCCATCGTTGATATCCTTGATAGCGATGGCCATCCTTTTTGCAAATGACGAAAAAAGGATTTGAGAGGGACTGTGACATATTCCTGCTGTCCAGTAGGGAGGCTTAAGGAAATTCTTTGCAGACAGGAAAATCTGCTTAATAATCTTTTATTATCACTGAATCAAATAAATCTTAGAATATGAAGTTGAAGTAGATGAGTAAAAAGATGTAGCCATCGGTCACTCAATCAATGAAAGGGACAAGTAAAGATTACGAGAACATAAAGTTCCAACAAAGTGTTTTTTTTTCTCTTTTTTTTTGTATCTTAATGAATAGAATACTATAATACTGATAGCCAAGCTAGGCTCTACAATTCTCACGACAATTCCATTTTCAGCAAACGCAAGTAACAAGAAGTTTAACTTTTACTTTGGAAATTAAGAGATGAAAAGAAAGATGGGGAAGAGTCTACAAGAGTGGATAGCGACTAAGAGATTGATGTAGTGGTCAGCTCAATGATCCCACATTTAACAGAGTTCAAATTGTTTTTACACCTTCTCCCTATCTCCCCTTTGACCATCCTTCATACATTTCCTCACTTCACTTGTTGTATCGCATTCTTTGACAGACAATATCAAGAACAAAGGGTCTATGACGTGAGTGAAGCATGACCTTTGACTCTAAGCAATATCTAATAGTGATGTGCATTTTAATTTCTTCGTCCAAATATCTAGAAACATTTGGAAACAATTTATACATACTCCATGTCAATTAACAAAAAAGCACAAATGTCTATTTGGAATAAATAAATAGCAATAAATTTGCGCATTTTTACACTTTCCATTATAAAAATATAAATAACAGCTGTAAAAATATTAAAATGATATTCGTCGAGGTATATTTGTGACAAAAAAAGGAGTAAAATCATTCGATGATGGTTTGTTGGATGTGATATAAATTGTAATAGTAGTAAATACTGTTATGTATATATTTTTTTACTATGAATAAATGTGGTAAATGGTAATGAAACAAAAAATGGGAATAGTAGGGAAACATGAAGTAGTGAAATGGAAAAGAAAATAAGAAATGGTAGTGAAATGAAACGTGAAATGTGAATTGTTGGCAAAATACAAAATGGAAAAAATAAAATAGGAAATGGTAATTATCAAATTCCATACTGTCTATCTTCATTATCATTTTGCCATTTTCTACCACTTGAAATCATTTTATGAAATGTTTTAGGAATGGATGCATGAAGTCAAATAGCTAGTAAACACAAAGAATGGAAAATGGTAGGGAAATAGAAAATAGGAAATGGTAATGAAAATTCGATGATGGTTCCGATTCCAAAATTTCAACTTTTTGATCCTAAGATTTGGGGAGTCTAAGATATTCAAGCAAATTACTCTAATAACATTGATGCTACTTGAAAAATCATGTAACTGATATTCCTACAAAAAATTAATGCAAATTTTTCAAATTTTCGCTTTATTTCAAATTGTTCGGCTATTATTTTGTTTAGTTAATTAAAGCAAATCAGATTTTTGTATAAAAATTTGTCATTCCATAATATTTCCAAATAATTTTGCTATCCCATTTTTAAACTTATTCATCATTTAGCATTAACGAAGCAATTTCTATTTGTGAAAAGCAGTATGATTTAGTGAAAAAATTCTTAAAAATTTTGCTTTAGTTTTGTTAATTATTGGCCATGTTTGTCTACAAAATGAAACTAATATTTATAATGAATGGCCATAATAGTTAACAAAATCTAATGTTAAACGTTGTCAAAATTGAGACATAAATGGTTTGACCTAAAATGTGCTATGGAATGGTAGTGACATATTTCACAATTTTAAACAGCTTCACCTTTAATATTCTCATTCGATATAAATATGTATGATAAATGAAATAAATTAACGTTTCCTTGGCAGTCATCATTCATTTTAAACATCATGAAACACACATGTATCAGAATGTTTAGAGATTTTAAAAATGCTGAAATCGTTTCAAAGATAAGTTCAGACTAAGAAATGCACCAAGTTTAAATTACATGTCTTATATTCAAATGATCAAATTGAGCATATATTTCTCAACTTTTCTTCAATGTCTACATTTATCTAACTGAGGTCAATCATAGAAACAGAAACTTCAAAGATGGAATAATTTGTTGTATCAACATGTAATTCAACAGAAAGTGGCATAATTCATTAATTCAATAATTACCTCTTTATATTTCCAGTAATGTGATCATAAATTGACAATATGAGTGACACGATGTGGAGGAGCCAATCAGGAGTTAGAATTTCTAATTAAATCAGCTATTACTTATGTGGTGATGATGTCAGTGCAAGGCAGGAAAGAACCATCTCTGAATCAATTTACATGAAAAGAAAAAAAAAAGAACTGTGAGAATAAAGTCGGTGCACCTTTGTTCACAATAATCTTTTCATCCTACACATCCATTTTTTAACAAATTATAATTGGAAGGAACAAGTAGATATGCAATGTGTAAATGGATAATTCTTTTAATTAAGAAATTATCATTTAAAAGAAAAAGCTAACCTTTCCTTACTTTATATGTCCTTCAAATGAACCACAAATGGTTCGTTTCCCAGGAAAAGCCAAATTTTCTCACTGAAGTTAAAGTTTATCGTCTTTTTTTGTGTCTACAATTGCAGGGCCTAATCAGGCACTGTTCTGTTCATCACTTTGTTGTATTGTTAGCCTGACTAATGACTATTTCAGCCAAGCCAGTTTTTTTATTTCGACTCTACCTTTCAATTCCTCGAAGAATCAATCCCGCGGAAAATGTATGGAGAATGACCATTGGCCATTTGATTGAATTTTCAGTCATCTATGGCTTGTTTGGATAAAAAATCCGAGGTATTTCCTCACTGAGGACTTTACCCGCAGAAAAATATTTAATATTTCCTCGTGATCCTTACTTAACTAATTGAAATTTATTGTAGCCAATATAAAACCTCTTTATCATCTACTACTAATTAATTTCACGCCTTAGGCAAGCTTCAGTAAGATAATTCAGTGATAGTATAGGGCTACTCGGCAGATTTTCTCGGCGACAAAGAATTTCCCTAAGCTATTCCATTATTTAGACAACAAGGATGTCACAGTCCCTCTCGACCGCTTCTCCCCTTTGTTTACAAAAAAAGGCAATCGTCGTTGTGAAGTATGACAAGCATAGAAGGAAGATCAATGCCGTTATCGTCCACATTACGTCACTACCATTGTGCGTCACTGACCACTATTAATGTGCAGTTACTGTGAGAACTTCTCTTTCCTTCGAATGCTTACCGTAATTCATCCACTTTTTCGCATCCATATTTTATGTTTGATTTCAAAAACTTTGTTTTTCTCAAATCTTACGAAGCCTTTTTACAAATGAATTGGTAATTCAACGGCGTGCAAAATCAAACTTTGTTGAAAAAATATATCGAATCCGATGAAATTATAAAACTCAAATTCAAATTCTTAAAGTTGATGTAATCTTTGGGACTTGCTTAAAATTCGTTCAATTAATTGATCGTTTTTTTATTTTATTTCCTTTTTATTAATATAAATATTAAGCTTCTGAAGAAGCTTTTTAAGAATTAAAATTGGCAATCACTTCTGATCATAAAATAGTCGATAACATTCTAAAATGCAAAGGAAGGAGTTTCATATCATCTCCATATTGCGTCATTATTTGAATAAATTTCGAGAGCGTAGCGGTATGATTTGTAAGCAATATTGGGCAACATTCGAAACAGCAAAGTAAAATTAGAGGGATATCTATTTTCTTGAAAATGATTGACGAGAAAAAATTGAAAATAGATAGATTGAAATGCTGTCATAATCATTGATAACCATTCTCCATTACTATATCTTTGACAGTATCACAGTTCATCGCGATTACAAGACTTCTCATCTTTCCCTAATACTGTCAGTGCATCTGAAAATAAGTTAGCTAAAGGATTGTTGATTTTAATTTTGTTATCATCAGGACCATTATTAAAATATGTTGAAAGGTGACTGGAATTATGAACTGTCAAAATAAAGAAAAAGAATAAAAAAATAAAATAAATATCAATAAAAAAAAAATTATGAACTGTCTTTTATTTTTTAAAAGTTTGCTGCGACGAATGAAAAAAGAATGAAACATAAATGAAACTATTTCATATGTCTATTGTAAGCCTAATGGGATACAGTATACTTGTATTTTACGAATATTTCAAACTCAAAGATGTGAAATTAACTCATATTAGACGCTTAAGCAAAAGCATATGACAGAGCCACATTTCTAAAGTACTGCTGTATTTTCTGCCTTAATGAAATACTGTAGCAATGCTGTAAGTGATAATTGTTTTAATTTCTTTTCTGACTCTCAGTTTCTACAAATTCTTTGGATGTTTATAAAATTGCTGGAAATAACCTATATAAGGTGATTATCTGCGGAATGGTTTGGGGCGATCAATGATAAATGATAAAATGGTTATAAATTATAAAAGAAGAAAAGATGTAAGGAACAGACGGGTTCTATTGCTATTCTTCAGCATACTCGCTTACATGTTGACAAACGAATATCGCTGTATTATTTTGGACGAAACAACTATATCAGAATTGAATAAATATGTAAATGCTTTCGAAGTTGCAGAAAACAAAAAAAAAAAAAAAAAATAACAAAATTTAGTAGATTTCGTAGAAATACAAAATTAGAGACATAAAT